TCTGTAACTCCAGTTCCAAGGCACCTGACACCCTCACACAGACATACATGCAAGCAAAACACCAATGTACATAAAATAAAAATAAATACATTATTTAAAAAAAAAAAAAAAAAAAAAAAAAAAAACTAAGTCCCTGGGCCAGGCAGTGAGGCAGAGGTAAGCTGATCTCTGAGTTCAAGGCCAGCCTGGTCTACAAAGCGAGTTCCAGGATAGCAAGGACTAAACAGAGAAACCCTGTCTTGAAAAAACAAAATAAATAAATAAACAAACAAACTAAGTCCCTGGGTCTTTTTTTTGTCTGAGTGATTTTATTCCCCTTAATTTTTCTTTCCTTCTTTCTTTCTTTGGTTGGTTGGTTGGTTGGTTGGTTGGTTTGACTTTTCAAGACAGGGTTTCTCTGTGTAGCCCTGGCTCTCCTGGAACTCAAATAGACTTTGGCACATTTAGGAATCATCACCAGCTAACAAAAATAAAAAATAAAATAAAAGGCCTTATCAAGCTGATTTTAAAAAAATCCAAAGACCCAAGGAAGCCGCTCAGCTGGTCAAGTGCTCGCCTTGTAGACATGAAGACCTGCATCTGAGCATCAGGATCCACATTAAAAATGCCAGATACAATGCTATATGCAGGCTTGGGGTTCTTGTGTTTGTTTTCTGGCTGCTAGTGGTGGTGGTGTTTTAGAATGGTTTGGGTGAGACTTTGAAGTTCTTTTCTATTCATGATCTTTCTTTTGTTATTGAAAAGAAAATTTTTCATACACTATATTCTGATTATGGCTTCTCCTCTCCACCGCCTCCCAAATATGCTTATAATCACAGTACTGGGGAGACAGAGGGAGGTGGATTCCTGGGGCTCATCAGCCAGCACATTTAGCCTGCTTGATATGTTTTGGGCCAGGGAGAAACCCTGTCTCAAAGAAATGGCAGACAGCACCTGATGAATGACACCTCCACTTGTGTGCACCTGCACACATATGAATACAAACACACACACACACACACACAGAGCACACGCACATGCATGTGCACACACACACATAAATCTCAAAGAAGAGTACGCAATTTAGTCAATATTTCATGTTTTGTAAACTTGGAGTTTTCACAGTTGCTATTTTATGAAGTCTCTAAAAGTGCAGATTTGAAAAACCACTAACATTGGCTAACCACAAAAACAATTCACTAAGGGCGGGGGTCTTGTGAGTCTTTAGACAAGAAGCAAATCATCTGACTTTATCAAATGCTTGACCGAGATCGTAGACTCAGCTTGGGGCATTCTGAAACGGAGAAGCCGCAACAAGACTCACCCAGGCTTGCCAAGTCAAACTCCGCTGGCTCTGCCCCCAGAACTGAAGGTCCCTTGTTCCCGCGAAGGCCAGCTGCCAAGCCAGCCCTGAGGACACACAGACTCAAAGAACTAAAATATCCTTTCCTCTAGTTTTCGGCCACACTCGCTCTCGATAAACACATTGGCCATTCTTAGAACAAGTGAAAGAACGATTTTTGACACAAATACCTTAACATTCAGGAGAGCACCCTAAGGATGATTCTGAACAGGAAAGCAACCAGTGACACTTCTGAAGAGGCACAGTACACCAGAGATGACCAACAAACACCAAAGTCAGATTATACTTCGAGTCAGGCAAGAAGTGGTAAAGACGCGCAGGTCGTTCTTCTGAATTTGTCTCATTTTCAGTGACTTTGTGTAAGTTCCCATGTCTGTGTGTTCCTGTGTGAGTGCGCTGTGGGTGTGTGTGTGTGTGTGTGTGTGTGTGTGTGTGTGTGTGTGCACATGAAGGTGCATGCTCAACCCGTTTCCAGGGGCTGTCCATCCTAAGTTGAAGCAGGGTCTCTCACTGAGGTAGGGCTCACCGAGTAGGCTAAGCTGGCTAGGGACTCGCCCGCCTCTGCCTCCCTAGTGCTAGGACTGTGAATCTGTGCCACCAGAGCTGGCTTTTTCATGCAGGTTGGGGACCAAACTCCATTCCTCAATGCTTATACTGCAAGCACTTTAACAACTGAGCTATCTGGCCCAGCCCTTCAGGGAAATGTCAATCAGGTCTGCAAATTGCTCTAGTTATAAAGTTGAACTATAACTTCAAATAGAAAAAGAAACAGATCAGTTATTTTATTTTAATAATGCCCTGATGCCAAATACTGCAAACCTCATATGATTTAGTACTCTACCAAACATAGCATAATTTTTGAAAATCTGTGACATATGAATTTAAAAGTACCTAAAAATCAAGCCCTGGGCTCTTGGGCCCCAGTTTCCCCCATCAAATCTTTGTCCTCAGTCCTCCCACATGAACTCTAATAGGACATTAGTATTATTTCCTATAGCGATTCACTCATATAAGCTATATTGAGTTGCTCCAAAGCTGGTAACCAGTCTTCACTGTCTTTAGAGCCTTAAGACTCCCACAGTGATTGGCATGGGAAAAAGCAATACATTAATATATTGTTTTCTCTTGGGACACAAATAGGAAAACATGTCAATTTCCATTCTCAAGAGACGTCATGCCGGCAAACAAATAAGTATAAGACGTTTGAGTTCATGGTGTGTGCACCACTGTGATGCATAGAATATACCAGAGAACTACAGGCAAGAGGCCTGTCAACCTTCTGGAGGGAATAAACGGCTTCATAGAACTGCCTGCTCAAGTAAATGTTGGCTAAATGAATGAGTTTTGAGGAAGAGCATTATTTAAATGCACAGTAGCCATAAAACTCTTTTATTAGGAACTGTGAGATGTTGAAACAGTGTGATGGTTTGAATGAGAAACAGCCTCTATAGGCTTGGGCATTTGGAATACTTAGCCCCTGGCTGGTGGCGCTGTTTGGACAGCTTTAGGTGGTGTAGTTAGCTGGAGGAAGCATGCATGCCACTGGGGATGAGCTCTGATGTTTAAAAGCCACTGGCCATGCCCAGTCACAGTCTCTGCCTGTGCTTGAGGTTTAAGATGTGAGCCCTCTGCTCTCCTGGCTGCATTGTCTGCTGCCTGCTGCCTGCACTCTGCCATCACGGACTGCTATCCCTCTGGGACCGTGAGGCCAAATCAGCCCTTCCTTCTCTAATCACCGTTATCATGGTGTTTTATCACAGCAGTAGAAAATCACTAATATGTATAGGAACTTGGACATTTCAGAGAAGACCACAGGCAAATATGACAACCACAACTCCCACAAGCTATCAAAATTGTCTTTTTTAGAAAAAAATACAAGTAATAAAAAAGTACATTTAAACGGATAACTGGGGGTTGGGGGGGGGAAGCTGGCTCAGCATTTTATAGCGCATAGTGCTCTAGAGAGGACCTAAGTTCAATTTCCAACTCCCATATCAAATGGTTCACAACCATCTGTATCTCCAGCCCCCAGGGAATCCAATGCCCTGGCCGCCACTAGCACTGGCACTGGCACTCATGTGTACACTATGCACATAACTACACATACTATGTACATACCTACACATACTATGCACATACCCACACACACTACGCACATACCCACACACACTGTACACATACCCACACACACTGTGCACATACACACACACACTGTGCACATACCCACACACACTACGCACATACCCACACACACTACGCACATACCCACACACACTGTGCGCATACCCACACACACTGTGTACATACCCACACACACTGTGCACATACCCACACACACTACGCACATACCCACACACACTGTGCACATACCCACACACACTGTGCACACACCCCCACACACGTAATTTTTAAAAAGAAATCTTTAAATGGATAACTGCCGACAGCAGTTATATAATAGCAACAATTGAAAACCGTCTAGACAATGAAGATAAAAGTATAACATAAAATAAAAGGAGTAAAAGGCCTTGTGAATGACATAACCCAGATGATAATGAAGCCGAGGCCACAGTGGGTACCAGAACTGGTGTTCAGAGGTCTGCGATAACATTCCCTGGCCTCAGGCAGTCTCTAACTAGAAACAACTCACATCCTTGCATTTGGGGGGAAACGGCTTCTTTAGGCCGACTCAGAAGAGCAGTAGTTCTTCCATCCGAACACCTCGCTAACTTCCGAATGCACCACGCCGTGTGCTTTCTACTTCACACACACGGTGTGCAAAGAGGCTGGACTCAGAGGTACAGTTTAGTGTAAACAACTTTCTGGGTTATCAGAAAAACACAAGCTGGGTTACAGACAAGGTCAAAATTCTAGAAAGACACAAGGGCCTCTGCACTCCTAAATATTCCTCTTCATATACTGGGTAGCTTTCAGCACATGGCTATAATTTCCTGATGTCCGACAATAACGCAGTAAAACTCTCTAGAGCATTTTTAGTTTCTTTAAAACAAACCTGAGATAATGTGAATGAAAAAGCCACAATGAAAAGCACATGAAATGACCCACAGATCGGACTGGAAGAGAGCAGTTAAATGCACTCCTGTACATTACCCAGCAGTGAGGCAGACTAAGGACACTTTCCATCTCCCAACACACACTCACACGATACTCTTTTCCAATGCTGAAATGAGAGAGAACTTTCCTGACAATGAGCGTAATAAACAAAGGCTCTTAGATCTGACCCAAATGAATCCTGTGGTCCCTGGAGGTAATTTGTGGGCCTAGCATCTATCCGTAGCCCCACCAGGCAGACAGAGCTCAGCCAATGCTCATGGGGTGAAAGAATGGATAAACCTGTGATGATGTAATTACTGAAATCTAATTAGCTCATCAATCAGGATCTCTGCACTTTGAATACATTGTCAAAGTACAGAAAAGATTTAAGGGTAGGGGGAGATGTCTAAAAAGAAAAGGCCATGGTTTTTCTCACTAGTTGCAGGGAGGAGCCTAAAAATAAAAAATAAGAGCTATCTTCAGAATTTAGAGGGGGGAAAATCTCATTTCACGTCGGCTAGCATCACGGTCACAGCGGTAGGACAGTTACAAAGCCCCGAACCCCAACTCTAAGGCAGTGCAGCCCACGTCCCCACAGCAGTTGTACCTGAATGGAAGGTAAGGGGGGTTTGAGCCAGACAGGAGCGCTCTGTAGGCTTCTTCTGGTGTCTTCTTTAAGTAGATCACCTATGACAGACAAACAATGAATAACATTGAGAACACGACACAAAACTAACTACTCAACAAATCTGCATTTTGCTTCCTTCACTTGGAGTCATAAGCCATGGGGAACTGTTGGCTCTCTTTCGTGTTTCCGGTTTTCATTTTTGGTTCTTTTGCTCTGTGGTTCTATGTTGTTTTTGATATGGAGGTTTCACTCTGTAGCTCTGTGGCTGGTACTCGCTAGGCAGACCAAGCTGGCCTCAAACTCACTGTGGACCTCCCGGCTCTGCATTCCCAGTGCTAAGATTACAGGTATATGCCTCCACGCCTGGCATGCTGCTCTTTGGACAGTCAACCAAGTTTGCCAGCATCCCCGTTCAGCTTGAAGCTGAGCAGCCACCTTGGGCTTACAAATGGATGGGTGTTTAGAGATGGGGCAGGTCCTTGAAGAAGCCAGCTAGGGTCCACAAACCCCACGGAACAGACACAGAGGGGCACCTCTGTCATTGGTCTCCTTACCAAAGACCAACAGTGGCTTCCTTTCCCTTCATAGATGGCCAGGGAGTAACTCGGCGCCTGATTATGACACTGACCTCAGAGTGAGCGCTTTTCTCGTGGATGTCAAGTGACATCTCTGTCCCAAGAAAAGCTGGTGTGGCTCTCTACAGGCTTGGTGAAATCATAATGAAACTTATGAAAGTGAATGCTAGGTCCTGAAGCCAGAGACATATTGATAAACTAATAATATACAAACCAACAAGAAGGAATCTTTAAAGCCATAAACAATTTGTATTTGGTAACGTATTGCCTAGACAGCACCTATCAGATTCTGTGATGAGTACTGGTACCACCCTTTATAGAATTTACATTATTGCGGCACAAAGACGATAATTAACAGTCAGGGGAGTCTCTGAGAATGTTCTGGTGACTTTGGGATGGGGAGAAGCAAGATGAGAAGGGCAGGGTGAGGGACCTGGGTGGGACAAAGCTCATGGATAGAGCAGACAGACAGCAAGCGGCAGGGAGGCCGTCATGGGAAGGACAGGGCAAAGGCGTTGGCATAGGACAGAGCTTGTGTTCAGTGTGGATGGGCAGCAGGGAGCGGGAGGAGGCAAGGTGAAAGGTCAGGACAGGACAGGGACTGAACGCTACAGGGTATGTTAGGTTTTATTCGTAGCACCATTGAAGATGTGATTTCTGGAGAAAGGGCATGATTCCTTCTCACCTGTAGTTTCAATCTAACTTAATTCCTAAAAGCCTCTCTACCTAGAACCAATGGCATCATGTCCTTCATGTATCCCAGCACCAAGATCTTGTGCGTTCAGTTACAAGGCAGGCAAGCAGGGTTTTATCCCCTCCAAGCAACTTTGAACGCTAAGTCATTCTGCCAGAAATACATAGCATGCCTTCACTTGCTAACGATTTCAAAAGTAGTAGCCCTTGTGAATTCTCTAAAGAAAGGTAATTTAATAGACAAAGGGGGGAAAAAAAAAAAAAGGACATCTAGTAGGTGGGAAGACAGCCCAGTCATTACAGTGTTCACTTCGCAAGCATGACGATCTGAGTTCAATCCCTAGAGCCCATCAGAGTAAATAAATATAAAAATAAGCCAGGTATGCTGCTGTGTGTTATAATCCCAGTCCTGAGGAGGCAGGGACAGGCAAGCAACTCCCTGGGACTTACTAGCCAGCCAGCCTGTCTTAACCCGCTCCAGCACCATCTTGCCTCCAGAAAGAGCAGCAGCAGTGGTACGACACCTGAGGCTGTCATCTGGCCTCACATGCATGTACACACACACACACACACACACACAAATGCGTGTGCATCCCCCACACAAGCACACCTAACCTCAAGAGCAAATCCCATATCCCATCAGCAAACACAGAGGAGGTTGGACAAGGCACACACCGGGCAAAGTGAACTGAGTCTGAAGAACAAACACCACCCGAGATAAAAATGCCTTCAAAAGGACGGCTGAGGACAGGAGAACATTGAGAATCGTGAGTCTAGCTGCAGCTCAAATCACTTTAAAAATCCATTTAAACGACGACTCCTCGCTTCAAGGGTTCTTGGCAGTAACTAGTGCTACAATGTAACTGTACCGTACCCTGCTGGGTGGGTTATGTAATAGAGCCGGTGATCAAGCAGTGTTTTCTCGAGCTCAAGCAGGCCACGGGAGTGTGAACGTGGCCCATGGCTGCTACCAGAGAAAGCTGCCGGGAGAGAGCGGCTGTGTTTAGATTAGATAATTAAGGCTTATACAGCTCCCATTGAAAAGCGAAAATACATTTCCTCCTAAAGAGCAATTACACTAATTCCCTTTAATCTTGAGCTACCATGCTGCAGGAGGCAGTCACCCCAACCCACATGAGAAACCTCTTCAGACAGGCTACTCCACAGGGCTTCCCTCCCCATCTCACCTGCATGACTTAGCACACATGAGCCATGTTCTCACACTGTAAGAGGAGAGCCTTTGTTTTTATTTTTATCCCAGTACTAAATTATTAATAGGTGCAAAGTGAAACCCAGCAGAGCCCATCTAAATTCCAGGAAGATTCCTGGGGCGTCTGTTATGGGTTGACCTTTTACAGTCTGGAGGGAAGTGCTTAGGGAGAGTGGGGAAATATTCTCCTCAACAAGAGTTCATTGTTCAACGATGCATGCATGTATGGTGGCTCACTAAAATACAAAATCCCATTTTTTTTTTTTGCAAGAGGAAGTATGCATGTTATATGTATTCCTAGGGCAGATCTTCTAGGATGAAACAGGGTGCAGAAAGGGAGAGAAAGACAGAGAGACAGAGACAGAGAGACAGAGAGAGAGGCCTGATTGAAGCCTGGAGGGGAACTAACATTTATGGGCCTTGCAGTCAATGAATCCAAAGCCCAAAAATGTACCGATTGTTCCAAATCTCACTGCTGCTCTGTAGGAGGATCAGCATTTGAACGCAGACCCCACTCCAAACATCTTGAAGAAAGGACTCCCTTTGCCCAGCTCCTAAAACAACTGTTCATGGTTTTTAAAATCATGAGGGTTCAAACTGTTAACAATAGAGGTTTGTGAGGACTCAAGGTGATACAGAATTGGAGAAAAGAGAACACTCTATTCTATTGTTATTTTTGTACAGGTGTGAACAAATTTGTTTTTGCATGGGAAGTAACTAAATTAGTTATGAAATGTTTAATATATCCTTTCTCTAAAAATAGTTCATTTGATTAAGAGCCCCAAAGTTGTGCTAGACAAGCCTAATATTTCTAAAAATGTTTTCTGGAACTAATTTCAAAGTCCCTACTAGATATTTTGATTTATCTTTTTGGCTTCTAAAAGGGAATGTGTGTGTGTGTGTGTGTGTGTGTGTGTGTGTGTGTGTGTGTGTGTGTGTGTACATTTTTTACCCCTCTCATCAGCTATTAACATACATAATCCAATGGAAAGAATTTTCCCAAATTTTGATTGAAACCACTTGACAAAATCATTGACATAGACAGTGTTTCATCCCACTCCAATTTAGTGAGTGACACATACATTACTTATATAAAAGTGTTCTATCATTGCCAGGAAGTCCTACAAACCTCTTCAATAAAAAAAAATGGTTACTATATAGTTACTTATTTTTAACAGAACACAAGACTGCTAATTAAAGTGATTTTTTTTTTCAATTTAATGAACTTTGATGCCAGACACCAAAGATTTTTCCTTTTGTTATATACGTGATTTCTGAGAGGCAGGATTATAACACATACTATCAAGAGATAAAGGGGTTTTATTTAAAAACCATAAGAAAAATTATGGTACTCCAAACTAAAATAATCTGTAATGTTTATCGATAATCCAGTGATGCCTAAACTTCAATTATCATGGACTAACTCTACTGCTACATACATCACCACATACTACCAAGTCTCTCCACACAGACACTCTGTTATCATACATCAACGTAATCTGACGTGTTTTATACCATTACAGTGGAAGACCTGGTACTGGATCAACACACAAATGAATATTACAATACATGACTTAAACTGGGAAGCATCTGTATGTATATCACACAGTGACAATGTGTCAAATAACAAATCTCTCCTAACTTCCCAGAGTACCAGACCACCACCAGACATTACTTAAAATGTTCTCAGAACTGACTTGCAATGCTTCTACATTATCTTTTAAGCTAGAGCCTAATGTCACTGGATCCACAAAGCCTATAAAAAATAATATATGTGGTTTTCAGAAGCATCTCGGGATTTGCAACTCCGACTGTTTACTCTCTCAATTTATAATTCTTGTACTCTGACAATTTATTCTCCCCAATACACAATCTTAAAAACAATAACTGCCTTCACATTGAAGTCTAAACCAGACCATATATTTGGTAACTCCTTTCCATGCAGACACCTCCTCAAGCCTTATTATGTTTCTAGCTTTCCTTTGGGGGTGTTAGTATTTTTTTTAAAATAAGAAAAAAGAATGTACTGCTAACATATTTACTTATATCCTAATTATACCTTTAAAAGAAATCTAAGGCGCTGACGAAATGGCTCCCTGAGTAGAGGCACCTGCTGCTAAGCCCGACCACCTAGCCTGAAAGTTTAAAGGAAGTCTCTTTTAGGGGTAAGGGTGGTATCCACGCTCCAGATGACCTTAGGTCTCAACTCCTTTCAACTTGTAACATCAGTTTCCTGGCGCTCTCTTCTGGAACAAATGTGACTCAGAAATGGTCGGAATGTCAATGTCCAGCCATCAGGGCAGTGTCGCAGTGGCAGAACCTACCAGGAAAGACCACTCTCTCACCTCGTTTCCCTCTTTAGGACAACTAAAAGATTAAGCAAAAGAACAGAAAGTCAACTGCCAAAATTGAAGGATACTCTCTGAGAAAAATCAATAAAGCCTCAGGGGTATTTTTATTTTCTAAATCACAAATACGATGAACATGAACACAGGTTTCTTTACTTAGGTTTTTTTAATTAAATTGTGTTGAGTGCACACACCTGCATGCTCACCACTGTTTGCATGGAGGTCAGAGGATA